ATGCTAAAATATAAATTAATTTGGGAAGAAGTGATATTTACCTTGTAAATACTTCCTCATTCACACTTGTGTTACAGTTCCTTATTTCTTTGTATAGCTTTTTAAAATAATTTTCTTTATTGAACTGTTCATAATTAGCTTATTAAATTTTGTTGGTTACAGCTCTTTTGATCCAGGTTGTTATTGATGCTATTGGGAGTTGCATTTATTTATTTAGAAAATTTAATTTATGTTTATTGCTGTTGAATAGAAGTTATTGTTCCAGATTTATCTTACATTCTGAGACCTTTCTTGAATAATTTTATTAATTATAATAGAATTTCTTATAGTGTTTAGTTGACAAGAAGTTTAGAATAATTTCATTGCTAAATTCCAATTTATCTTTCAAATAAACAATGGAAATTGGAGACAAAAGTAAGATTTTAAAAGCTGCTTTTGGAGTAGGATTAAAATTTTATATCTATTTTCTTTTTTTTTATTGAGATAGCATTGGTTTACAATACTACATATGATTTAGAGGTTAGGATCATGCCACAGAGGTGTATGTTCCCATGCCCCACCTACCACCAGGCACCCATAGTCCTCCAATGCAGTCCATGGGGCCCCATCCCCACTTGGCTCTCCACACACTCCCCTCTGGTAGCCTCAGTTATACAGCCAGTTTTCTAGCGTTTGTTATTGATCTGGTTTTGTATGACTCTTTGTTTTGTTTCTTGACTTTCAAATATAAGTGAAACCAGGATTTGCCATTCTCTTTCTGACTTATCATACTTGGTATCTTCCATTTCAATTCGATCCATGTTGTTGAAAGTAACAAGAACTCCTTTTTTATAGCTGAGTAGTATTCCATTATGCATATATATATGTGTGTGTGTGTATAAATACATGCATGTATGTATGTGTATATGTGTATCTATACCATATCTTCCATATCTTTGTAATCCAATAACCATCCTTTTATATATTTATTTTTTTAAAGATTTATTTTTTATTTATACAAGAGCTGGGGTACAGGCCAGAGGCACAGGAGGCTGAGAGGATTCACCAGAGACAGTGTGGGGAACAGAACAGGCAGACAGACCTAAAGCATTGCTGAGGGGAGCAGCAGGCGCGACAGGAGAGGTCTGCCACGCCATGTAGGAATCTCCCTGGCCGGCTGGAAATCCAACTTGTGTTGCAGAGGCTGTGGACAGCTTCACAGCACTGTGCCCAACCTGCTGCACCACCGGGGAGGCCCACCTTCCATTTTAGAGAAAGTCTATTATAATAGAATCCAGTACTAGATGTTACCATCTGTGAGTCAGGCTTTACAGTGCTGGATCATTTAGGGGACAAATATGTGAGTTTTTCAGGCCCAGTGAGGACTCCACGCTACAGTTTCCTGTCATACATGATGTTCTCCCTCTGATCATTTTGAAACTCTAGACCATTGGTTCCTGTCTTTGTTATAACAGCTCAAAACCTCTCACTTATGGAAATTCTTCGCCTGGAATCATCCCAGGTTGTCTGGGACCAACAGCAACGCATCTCAAGCCCCCTTCCTTTTATGGGACAACATGGAAAAGTCATTGTCTCGGACTTTAGCCACATCCCACCACAGCAGGACTCTGGGGCAGGAGGGGATACCCAATATGAGTAATGAAACCCCACTCAGAGTCATACAGGGATGGATTTAGGGGCCCAAGGAGCCACCACTTTCTCTGGCATAAGGTGGAGCTCAGTAGACACTATACTAATTTTTCAAAAATATTCTTATGTCAGCCTTAATAATGTTTGATACAGTTTAGCATCCAGGTCTAAATTTTGTATTTCCACTTAAAGGAAACTTTTGTGCTCTGATGAAGGTAAATATTCTACTTTATCATGACTGGTGAAGTTTAGTGATAAGTGTGAAATAAGGCTTTTATTTCCATTGACCCTGTGGGATGTTTATTGAAGGTGGTTACACACTTCATTGTGTTGGGTAAATATTGGTTCTTGCTACATGATGGGACCTGACAAGTGATAACGGGTACACCATTGTGTGACATCATCTGATCTGACACAGTAATGGGAAGCAAACCAGCTGGAAGACTCAAGCTGACATAGCACAGATGATAATTCTGCATCATACACTTTTTTTTTAAAGATTTATTTATTTATGCATTCAAGAGCTGGGGTACAGGCCAGAGATGCGGGGGGTGAGAGGATTCACCAGAGACAGAGTAGGGAGCAACAGGCAGACTGACTGAAATACACTGCTGAGGGGAGCAGCGAGCGAGACAGGAGAGGTCTGCTGTGCCATGTGGGTTTCTCCCTGGCCAGCGGGGGATGGAGCTCATGCTGCAGAGGCTGAGGATTGCTTCATGGTGCTGTGCTTAACCCCTTGTGTCGCCAGGGAGGACCCTGCTTTTACTCTTCGGACTTGTACAATTATCCAGTTTACATCATCCCGGGGTGAGGTGTTGCCACAGTTCTGTATGCTTTACTTGTATTTTTGAAAATTATTTGAAGGTTTGGATACCATGGACTAAGAGACTGCACTGCCCTCCGCGTCATCACATTGCAGGGGGTGTCACTGCCTTTCTAGATGTAAGGGCACCTTAAATTCTTAGGAGATGTGCAGTTTCTTTCGGTAAGAAGGACAGGACAGCATCTTCCTCTGTATGTACAATAAAGTACAGTGTAGCTTTTGGTGGACTGGGGAAAAATGAGAGAATGAGTTGCAGTTTTGTTCAAGTATTAGAATGAAACTACATCTCAGACACCTATTAACTATGAGTAATTAGACCATAGTGTTTTTTTTGCAGTCTATCTGAATAAAAGCTTTCCAAACATGGCTTTTCTAGGAAACTGGTGAGTGAATTGTTTCATGCTTTCTCTTACTAACACTTATCTTAAAAGCAATTCTGCATCTATCAGAATCAAAGTGAGAAATATTATGAAAAATTGTGACAAAGTTTTTTCTTTTTCCCAAATTAAATCCCAAATTAAATTAAATCTGGCCTGGTGTGATTTGGAGCTGATCGTTTTCTTCCTATTATATTAAAATACCATACAGAATGCAGATATAGGTGTGTGTATATATCTTCATGTGTATCTATGAATATACAAATGTGAATGAGAAATCTTATTTTACATTTGCATGATTTTTTAAAAATTTGACTTATTTATTTTATTTATTTATTTTCTTACATTATTGTTAGTTTTTGTGACATTATTTGATTTCTCCCCTCAAGGACATCTGTATCATTAACAGGACTGTAGTCAAGTTTATTTTGAATTAAAATATAGTGGTTGAGAAACATGAACTCAGTAAGAGTTATTATTGCTCTCTTCATGGCAGATAAAATAAAATCTTGGTAAATAAAAGTCAATCTTATATTTGAAAATTATCATTACTGATAAGAAAATAAGAAGAGAACCAGGTGGCAGTTTTTGAAAGTTATTTAATGACATGTAGTGACAAGAGTTTTGATAAACAGCATGAGATGGTGATAAAAAGCCTAAATTTACTCTAAGCATTTGGTTCACATTCAGACACTGACCCTTAAACTAACTGTGGAACTCTCACAGAATTGTTTCACCCTTTTCTTTTGTGGGTCAATTTCTCTGTTTTTAAAATGTGGATAATAATAGCATCTATCTACTAAGGTGGTGGTGTTGGGGGTCACCAGGACCACCCTCAGGTCTGAAGATTGGCTTGGAGTCCCAAGATTCAGAAAAGTTGCTAGACTCACAGTCATGGTTTTACAGTGAAAGGGCACAGATTTACTACAGCAGAGGGAAACAGCAGAAGAGGAAGCATCCAGTCACCAACGTCCAGGATTCCCTCCCAGGAGAATAATGTGGGTGTCCTTAATTCTCCCAGCAAAGATACCAGGGAAACTCGGCCAAGCTTTGGTATCTGGGGGGTTCCCAGGGGCCAGCTATATCAGCAGATGGCACCAGATGATTGCCCTCCCCAGACCTCACACTTTCAGCCCCAAGCATAAAAGTTTCGGGTGAGACTGGACTAGCTTAGGTCAAGGCCTCAGACATTCAAAATCTCTCTCATCAGGCTGATTATTCTAAGAGGTCAGAGGTTATCTTCCAGGAGTGGCCAGAGGCCAGTCCCGAAGACAAACCTGTATTTGGAATGTGCAGGGTTTGAGTAACTTGGAACTGTTGCCTTAACCCCAACTGTAGAAGTTACGAGGAAGTATGAGCTAGCCATGTTAACTTTGAATAGTGCCTGGCTGGTAAAAAAAAAGTCAGTAAGGCTTAGCTATGGTTCCTTCTAGTGGAGCTCTGTGAACTGAATGAAGCAGATTATTTGAAAAATACATAAGAAATAAAAACACTAATTTGAAGGGTATCAGCACTGCTATGTTGCGGCCCTGTTTACAATAGCCAAGGTATGAAGACAACCTAAGAGGAGTGGATTAAGAAAATGTAACCTATATAGACAATGGAATGGGACTATTAAAAAAATGAAAACATGTCATTTGCAACAATATAGATGAACTAGAGAGGGCAGTGCTAAGTGAAATAAGACAGAAGGAGAAGGGTAGACACAAGGTGGTTTTACTCCTATGTGAAATATAGAGAAACAAACAAACAAACAAAAAGGTTCAGCCAAACCAAACCAACAACCAGTTCTTGACATCTGCCTGCAAAGCTGAGGCGTCTGGAAGGGGAAGGTGGCTGGAGGGGACTGGGGGCGGAGGGGCGCAATGGAGCATGGTGGAGGATTATTGGGGCTTTGGTGCTGGGTGTGGTATGAAAACACACATTTGTAGAAATTTGGACCTATAACCCCTAAAACAAATACAATGATGAAAACCAACATTACTTCAATAAATATAATTTGAAAAAAAGAAAAATAGCTATCATGGATCTTATGATCATGACAAGTGCTCAAATTTGGAATGATGGGGCATTATGAACTAAAATATTAAATATTTTAGCTTGGGTACTTCAGTAAGAGAAGTTCCCAAATTTCACCAAATCCTAACACCCTGTTCTTTTGTCCTTTACAGAGCTCTGAGATCAGCAAAACAATAATCAAAGAGAAGAGCTGTTTGAGGAGTACGACAATAAAACAGGTACAGTAAATAGCCAACTGGATTGTATTCAGTTCAAGCTTATAACCATCGCATTAAAAAATGATACTTGAGGGCCTCCCCGGTGGCAAAGCGGGTTGAGTGCAACTCCATGAACCTGTCCACAGCCTCTGCAGCACGAGTTCGATTCCTGGCCAGCCAGGGAGATATCCACATGGAGCGGCAGACCTCTCCTGTCTCGCCCGCTAATCCCCTCAGCAGTGTTTTCAGTCCATCTGCCTGTTCTGCTCCCCACTCTGTCTCTGGTGAATCCTCTCACCCTCCTGCGCCTCTGGCCTGTACTCCAGTTTTTGTATTAATAAATAAATCTTTTAAAAAAAGGATACTTGACAGAAATTTTAGTGTAGTGTTATAGAATGTGCGCCTGCATGTTGTAGCTACCTGGCCATGTGTTAAAGTTGAAGGCATCTCTATGTCTACATAAAATCATTTGTGAGGACGACGGTTAGGCTAGATAAAAAAGTGAAACAGCAGAGCTCCGGGAAAGACAATACTGGGACACAGGGAGGAATCTGCTGTGACCTGGCTGAACAGAGGGGGTGTCTCTGGGTGATGACTTTCACACTGAGCGCTGAAGGATGAAGGATGAAGTCCTAGCACAAGGGACAGCAGTGGATGCGGGAAACAACAGAGCACAGAGTGGCTCTCACGCAGCCATGGAGGCTGAGACAAAAGATGAAGCCGGGTTGAAATAAACATGAAAGCTGGCCCATTACCCAGAAAATGAGTATGCACTATTCCCGAATAGTCCTGGGAAGAGGATTCTGGATGATTTGCGCACTTTCTGCCCCGTCATCTTGTGTGTTGGCATGCGGTCTTCTCTCTCCTGGATATAGATGCCTTAGGATCCGCCACCAACCCTGTCTCCTGCCGAAGCTCAGTGTAAACCTCTTATGAGTGTGCAAAGAGGTTCTCAATCTGTTCATTCCTCTGAACACTACTTCCAGTGAAATATTCTGCCGACTTTCTCGAAAGTTTCTGAATACAGTAACATTCTCAGGAACTTTAAGAGCATATTAAGATGTTGCAGGTTCTGAGAAATTTTACGGTAAATTATGTGTGTATTTTTATTTACCGTGATAAGCTACTTCCAATTCTCATTAGGTATGTTTCAAAAAGTTTTGTCTTGAAAATATGCATTTTAAGAGGTTTCTTGTACTTCTGCGGTTGGCTTGCTTTTAGGAAACGACCTATTTTATGGCCTCGCACAATAAATTATAGCAAATAATTTTCTAGAATTCAGACCAGAAAAAAAAAATGTTGGCTTCAATGATTTAACTTCTTCAGGCAGAAGAATTTCTTGATCTGAATTATATGGTTAATTGCTTCAAATTCTGCTTATACTTTGCATATGAAAATTTAGCCTTAAGTAACAGTTGGGCGCACTGGAGGAAGAGCTTAGTAAGTAATTTTCAGTATCAGTAATAGCAATATTTGTTCTCGTAAATCAAACAGACAAGGAAAACCACACACATGCACACAGACACACACACACAGACACACACACACACACGATGCTGTTTGGTCCTTGGGTGCTCTGAATAATATTCTTCTCCATTGAAAATGCTTATTCTCTTAAAGTGAAGAAAATGACTTGGGGTCATGCCTACTGTAGCACATAAAGAATGCTTTTCTTCTCATATAATGCTTGCTTCTCATATAATGCTTGCTTCTCATATTGACCTGATGTAAAATACGGAGATTCGGTATTTGCAGCAATAAACATTTTAAGGACTTCGAGTATATGAGTTAACCTGCTCTTAGTCCAGAACAGAGGCTCTCAATCTCCATTTTGGATCATCAGCACCCTGCAGCTCAGCTAATTATTATCAAAATATAAGAAAGAACTGTGAAAACTTTCCTAGGCTTTCGTAACGTAGAAAGAGAAAAACCTGTTTGCTTTCTGAAAAGACAAGAGACAGCTGTCACTCAATTACTATTCTTGCCATTTGCTTTCTCCTAGAGAAATGTGTCAAATTTGGAATCTAATTGGAAATCTTAATTGTAAATGGCTTAAAGGTGGGGGTGGGATGATCAAGTTTAGACATAAAAAGTAGGGCAAGAAATGGAAAAGGTAATATTCCAGCTGGATTGAATAATTGCCTATTTTTAAGAGAGTCGGCCTCTGGCATGAAATCCAACTTCTCTCTTTCTTTTCTCAGGAGGGATTTTTTTTCTCCCAACCATCCAACCATTTGATAAATCTTTTAACCACTATAAATTATAATTCTCCAGGGCTATGTTTTGCCCAGTGGAAAACAGTTGTTTTAAAGTTTTGAAGCTGGTGCTAAACCTTAGTTTCCTAATGGATTTCCTGTCCATACATATTTTCTAACTATTCTGTCTCAGTTAACCATCTCTAAAATTGAATTTTTAAAATCCACTTACAGTGTGATTTTTTTAAATTTTAATTTATACATTTACTAGGATGTAGTAGTAAATCCAGATATACTAAGTCCTAGAAAAGAAAGAAGTAAAATGGAAATCTGGCTAAATTTGAGAATGCTTGCTGATTCGGTACGCTGGAGACAAAGATTCTAAGTCAGTTTCATGAGTTCTTTTACTCCAGTTATTCTTTTTATTTTTTTTCCTGGTAAATAGTTTGCATTCTGCTCTTGGCTTGTAATCTCCAGGTAAAGACAGTGACTTGTTACTCCTGAGTTACTCATAGCACTCAGTTTGCCAGGGCTAGGAATGATAGCTGCTCAATCATTACTTGATTAATTCAGTGAGGCTGTGGCAGGAAGTGGAGCGCCTAGATTGTCCTGTTTTCTGGTTTACAAACATCCTATCTAACATTCAAAGCAGGAGCCCTCCCTTTCCGGAGAGCGATCGCGTTCAGTGATTGTGCACCCACTTCCTGCCCTTTCTCCACCTCTCTGCTCCAATCTGATGAGCCCATTTCCTGTTTCTTATGTCTGTTCTACATCCATGGGTGTTGCATAGCCTCCATTTTCAATACTTCTGTCCCCATTGTCTTTCATTCTATCTTACTCTTCTTTTATTTTTAATCTGCCCATGACAACTCCCCCCCCCCATTTTTGGTGTGCAAACCTCTTAAAGCCAAATCAAACCTCATCTGCTCAACGAATCCATCCAGCTGTCTCCTGAAATGATCTTCTATCCCCCTTGAATTTTTTGTTGTTCATTTGTGTCCAGACACTGTCCCTTGTTCCCTCTCTGTGCAGAGTGACGCTGACACACAAACAACCGGTGAAAGCTCAGCTACTTAATAGTGAATGGCTCTTCCAATCCCTACTCTATTCTCTAAAAGCTCACAAGGGTGTGGACCCCTGGCCAAGTTTGCTGCGTGCTTCCCGGCAGTATCTGGGTTTCCTACTGGGTGAATTTGGGCCTGGAGTGCAGCCTGCCAACACATCCGTTGTCTCAAGTGAGCTGGCTTTTGAGGTTAGTGGCTGGCTGTGTGGTGTGCTCAGGGCTGTGCTCAGAGGTCTAGGCGCCTGCTTCCCTGTCCCCGGGACGTGACCTGATTGTGGGCATCACTCCCTATTCTAGGACTTGAATACATGCTTGATGCTGAGAACTGCTGCCTTCATTCCTTCTGCTAGTAGACACCTGTTTTATTGCTTCCCTATCTACCCCTCACCCCAAATACAAGGAAGCCCATTGAAGCTTGCGTTTATCAATTAAGTCTTGGTGATTTGCAGTCCTGACTCGCAGTAGTCATGCTTTCTTTCCCAGATTATTATTCTTACTTCTTTATGAAACAGGTTTCTTTTTGCTTCCTTTCATGTCTCTACATGCCTTTTGATGGGATGCACTTTGGTTTTTATGAAAGCATTCTGATTGTACCTTCCATTTGTCCAGCCATATTAATCACACAATTATTACAATTGAACAATGCTAGTAATATTTGTTGATCACGTGCTATATTTTCCAATCTCTTTTTTTGTGTGTTTTGTAGTAATTATTTAATGATTTACATGAATTAAATTTATATCTTTTGGTGTACACTTGCAGATGGTCATATACCTCTATGACCAAGGTGCAGAATATTTGCTTCACCCCTAAATTTTCCCTCTAGCTTCCCCTCTGTGGTCAGCCTCCCCTTCCCACTTCCAACCTTTAGAAACCTTTCCAATCTTTCTGTAGTTTGCCTTTCACAAAATATCATGTAAATGTATCTAGCCTTTTGAGTCTGACTTCTTTCATTTCCCATAATGTACATAAGTCTCATCCATGTTTTGTGGGGGTCTGTGATTTTTTCTTTTCTATTGCTGAGTAATATTCCATTTTATGGATATGTTTAGGTGAGATTACCCATTCAGCATTTGGAGAACTTGTGGGTGGTTTTGAATTTTTAGTAACAACAGGTTTCTTGTCATCAGAACTTTCATTTTTCTTGCGTAAATTATCAGAACTGAGTTTGCTAGGTACTATGGTTGATGCATAATTAACTTTACAAAAAATTGCCAGATTCTCTTTGTCATGGTTTTGACTTGAAGGCAGTTCCCAGCTTAAAACATAGACCATAAAACATAGACCATAAAACAAATTTAAAATAATTGAAATCAAGTAAGTTTTTTCCCATAGAATAATGATATTAAATTAGGATTTAACAATGGAAAAATATCTGGAAATAAAAATGGGAATTTGGCAACACAGTTCTATATAATATTGTACCAAGAGGAAGTCACATAATTTGAATTATGAAGATGAAAATAATATCAGAATTTATGGAATGCAGCTACAGTGTAGCTTACAGAAATCTAGAATGCTAATATTAGAAAAGACTCAAATTATGATATAAACTGACATCTTAAGAACTAGAAAGTATGTCACTCCTCTAAGTTTTAGCTTCTTCCCACAGTTCCTCAGGTAACTTGCTTTTTGTATTTCCTCCTAATTGGTGGGAGATACAGTGTTTAGTTGACTCCAAATGGAATATCTGCCCTGGTCTTCTGTCTTGGTGCATCCTTGATTAGAGACAGAACCTCTACAACTATGTATATATTAGATAA